CTTCCAGCAAGTCCTGACCACCAATTTCCGGGGTGACTCACTCTGACCCTGGGGGTCTCCATCTCTACCGAGCTAAGGTAGACACAAGCTGGGACACATACACCCCTCACAGTTCTGTGGCCAACATTGCTGGAAGTCTCAGAAGGTCTGCAGGGAATTGGCAAGCCTTAAGGATCAATGCCTACCACATCCCAGCCCTGCCCTTTGGAGAGAAGTCCAAGGCTTTCTTCCCAGGCTTCCTCCTGGGTTTTAGGAACCATCATGTTCCATCTTCAAAGGTCCAAGTTACTGCCCCACAGAGCACCCAGATCTGGCCTGAACGAGGCCCAGAAACGCTCCAGCAAGCAAAGGGATGAAGTCCCTTCTTGTCCTTACCATGGTTGCTATTCACAGGGACTCCTCTGCTGCAGGCCACTGCCTCTGCACTCCACCACCCAAAGATGTTCTGGCCTGCTCCAGCCCCTGGGATTTGTAGGGGCACCCTGTCCTCCCACCTCCTTGCGCCCCAGGACTGGATGTCCTAGCCAATCAGATCCTGGGGTGAGAGAGCTCCCCCTCCTTCCAGTGTCCTACCAATTACCTAATTTAGCCAAGGGCCCTTGCAGAGAAATTGAAGCCTCGGAGCAGGTGGCAGGCCTTGACGTTCTAGATTTGTGAGGAGAACCTGCCTTGCTCCACTGCCTTAGCGACCTCCCTTCTAAAAATACACTTGCTCCAAGACGGGTAAGGACAATCAGAATAGAGAAAAGTGAGGGGACATGTAGGATGGGGCGAGCACCAGCCTTGAAGTCCAAAACCCAGTGCCGCCCTGAGCTTCAGTTTCCTTATCTGTGAGGTGGGAATCGTCATAACCTCCCTCAGAGAGACTGTGGCATATGAGAGCCTGGGTATAAATCACCTAGCTTGTGCCAGTTACATAGGATTGGTGCTTGGCAAGTGGAATGTCCTGTCTTTGAACCATGGTAAGGGGCAGAGGGCAGGAGGAGGGGGAAATGACAGTTATTGAACCTCTCCGACATCCCACAGGCTGTGCTAAGTATTTTAACCACATGATCTCATCTAGTACTCACCCTATGAGGTAGCAACTATTATTGGGGAGCTTTGTAAATCATAAAGGACTAGAGTCATGTTGGTGATTCTTATTAATATTGACTGAGGGGAAGTTGGGACAGACAGTTCTTGACGGACCCATCCAGAAGGAGAAATGTCTGTAGGGGTCCAGGAAACAGGGTGTGCACTTGGAGGAGAAATCAACATTGAAAGCAGATTCTTCTCTCGTTTACCTTCTTTTTTTAAAATATATTTTATCAATTTTTACAGAGAAGAAGGGGGAGGGGTAGAGAGCTAGAAACATCAATCAGCTGCCTCCTGCATACCCCCTACTGGGGATGGAGCCTGAAACCAAGGTACATGCCCTTGACCAGAATCAAACCCCGGACCCTTCAGTCCATAGGCTAACGCTCTATCCACTGAGCCAAACCCGTTAGGGCTCAAGTTTACCTTCTGCAGGGAAAGGATTTTGGGGACTGACATTCTTGGGGAGAAGGAGACCAGGGGAAGTTTCCCTAAGTAGATGATGGGGTAGGTGGCCCCTTGCCAGAGCTCAGTGAAGAAGTCTGGAGGTGCTCAGCTGGCCGTCTGGAGAGTGAAGGGGTGGGTAGATCAGGTTAAGTCCCAAGGGAGCCCTGCCTGAGAATCCACAGGGTCCAGGCTGGGTGTTGGGGGGTAGGTAGTGCTCATGGTGAATGGCTAAGTCAACAGAAAGAGCAGTGAGACAACCAAGTGCAGATTCTGGGGCCCCCTGCTGGTAAGCTGACTGAAGACTACTTAGAGCTTTGGAATTACACAGACTTGGCCTTAAATCCCAGCTCCCCTGTTTTCTAGCTGTGGACTTGGGGAAACTCAATTTGCCTCAGTCTCTTCATCTTTTTAAAAATATATATAATTTTATTTGATTTCAGAGATGAAGGGAGAGAGAGAGAGAGAGAGAGAGAGAGAGAGAGAGAGAAACATTAATGATGAGAATCATTGATTGGCTTCCTCCTGCATGCCACACACAGGGATGGAACCCACAACCTGGGCATGTGCCCTGACCACGGAATCAAACCTCCTGGTTCATAGGTTAACTCTCAACCACTGAGCCACACAGGCTGGGCGTCTTCATCTTGACAATGAAACAGTATTGTCCAGTAACAACCCCCTCCCCAAGATGTTGTGAGGTGAGATGTGACCT